CCCCCCCCCCCAGTAAACTCTCAGGTACCTGCCGAGGCCGTCCAGGGTAGAGGCCGGCCTGGAGCTGCCCCGCTTTTGGTTCCGGCCTGCCCGGGCTCCGGGCGTCTGGAGGAAGGGGGGGGGCCCTGAGCAACGGGGGAGCCTCCTCTACCACCGGCCGCCTCCTCACAGAAAGCAGAAACGACCAGCCTCCCTCTCTCCTGTCCTCCCTCCCCCCCCCCCCCCCCCCCCCCCCACACCAACGCTGCAGCCAGCCAACAGGAGCGGCGCTTTGGCCTCATCCAGATAACGCGCATCAGGGGTGAGGCAGCAGAGCAGCCGCCTGCCTTCATGGCGTCGCCTGGTCGGCAGACACACTCGCAGCTCCCTGGTGCTGCGCCGTGCACATAATTCCCCCATCAGTGCCGTTTGACAACACTGCTGAGAGCAGATACACAGGAATTAGTGTCATAATATTTGTTTTTGTACGTCGAACAGCGTGAAGACATGAAACAATATTTTTTTTAATCAGCAATTCTGTGGCTGGTTTTTGATCTGAGGCGGTTTTATTATTTTTACAAGAGTGTACGTGTCACCTGCATGTATGTTTCAGTTCCATCTTTTGCAGCTACATTTGAATTAAATGAGGGTTTGGGAATTGCCACATCAAATATTGGCTATAATGGAAACTGCATTTCCTGGCTGATGAGATAAGGTTACGGAATCACTGGCACTGACATAAACACACATTTTACTGGGTTAGCAACCTTTAGTAGCTCCAGCGAACATGTTTTACATTTTCTGTTGCCAAACACTATTACATTTTTTAAATTATCAAATTTTTTTCTGCTTTACTACAATTTGTAGACATTTATATGTATCATATTTGCTCTTTGTTGTAATTATTTTTTAATCATTAGGCCCCAAATAAATATCTGACTCAATACAATGACATTTAAGCCTGTTAGTAAACTGAAAGAGATAAAAATTAGCTTTTATTATTCTATTTTATTATTATTTCACGAGGATGAACGCAAATTGTCCATATGTTTTTTCTGCAAATTCTCATGCCACAAGCTTTCATTTGTTTGGTGTAAAGCTGATGCCCCCTAAAATAAGATGCAGAATTGGAGCACCCAAACGTCCGTCAGCTATTTGTGTCCAGTCTGACTGCTGAAGGAGAGGAGGAAAAATAAAAGCAACTCAGTGTGCGCAGGCAGTGAGGAATTCAGGTTAGTCCCAGAGGACATCACACCTGTCAGGGAAGCAGCACGCAATAACACCCTCCATCCCAAAAAATAGATCTGAGGAAACATTAGCCAATATAATGAAAAATAGATCTGAGGGGCTGACAAAGCAGATAAAATAGGAAAACAAGCTCAGAGTAATTCTGCTGTGATGGGCCTGTGGTATTTAGGAAGCAGGACAGAGACGCAAGTAGGTTATAGGAGCTGAGAGTGAGATGGGCTTTAAAGGGGGGGAAAAATCCTTTAAATTGAGGTATAAAATTAACTTCATTTGGCTCAAGGGTGACAGGCTGGTCGGGAAAAGAGGAGTCAAACTGGTTGCAAACAGCCGGAGGAAGTGCCCTCTTTTCATTTTTTTCCCCACTGGGAGACCGCCCATGTGCGCGTTTAATCCACATTTGCAAGCAACTCCTATCTTCCTGCTATTTCACCATCACTGTCCTGCTCCCAAACTGCCTTTTTCCTCCTCACATGCTTCTCACTGCAGTCGTCCGCCGGCTTCCTCCTGCACTCCCTCTTTCGCTTTCTCTCTCTCCGTCTCTCTCTCTCTCTCTCTCTCTCTCTCTCCCTCCCCCCCCCCCCCCCCCCCCCCCCCCCCCCCCCTGCCCCCCTCCTCTCCTCTGTTTCTTTTTTTCCTCCTATTTATGAAAACGTCACTTCAAGTCCCTCCCTGTTTGAATCTCATTAGTTTCTTGTGTGTTTCTCCCTGTCAATAATCCTGAATCCAGACTCTCTCTATTTCCATCCCTCTCTATCTGTCAATCAGCGCCGCCTTTGAACTGAAAACCACTCCGACCAACTTCAACTCACTCAATCCGAGCGGCTCGGCTCCTTCTCCGGCTTCCTTTTTCTGCCAAGATTTCCCCCTTCTTTTTTAGTTTTGTACCATCCACCAGAGCTTTGGAAAACGCCAATACAGAAAAGAAAACCCCCCCAAAAAACTTAGAGGCTCGGACTTTCGAGATCGCCGAGATCAAGGGTTTAAAACTTTGAGTTTTGCCCCCCTCAAGAAAAAGCTTTCTTTTTTTTTTTTTCCTGCTCGGGAAAAAATGCCGCAGCTCAACGGCGGTGGAGGGGACGATCTGGGCGCAAACGATGAAATGATCTCCTTCAAAGACGAAGGGGAGCAGGAAGAGAAAATTTCGGAGAACTCCTCGGCAGAAAGGGATTTAGCAGACGTCAAATCTTCTCTCGTAAATGAGTCGGAAACGAATCAGAACAGCTCGTCGGACTCGGAGGTAAGTGGCAGCCGGACGCGGGGATCGATGGACCCCGGCTCTCTGAACCCAGGGGCCTACGCTCGTTTGCGCCGTAAAAACGCTGGTAGACTTGCAAAAAAAAAAGTTTACTGTCGCCCCTCGTCGCCCGCTGTCTTTAACTTAAACGCAATCCTTGTGTTTCGTTGCATTTCAAGGCGGAAAGACGGCCCCCGCCTAGGTCTGAAACTTTCAGAGACAAAACAAGAGAAAGTTTAGAGGAGGGTGAGTTTCTGCTTTATTGTCCTCTCTCGTTTGGTTTTTTGAAAAAATGTCTGAAACACGACATTATGTGTGCATGACGGAGGGCATCTCCTCCTGCCGTATTCCTCAAGTGCAATGTTCAGGAAATAAGTTCCCAAGGCCACTTTTATAAAAAAAGTTTTCCTCTTTTTTCCCCCCCGCCATGTTAGCTGCGAAAAGGCAAGATGGAGGGCTGTTCAAGAGCCCATCGTACCCGGGCTATCCGTTTATAATGATCCCCGATCTCACAAGCCCATACCTCTCCAATGGATCACTTTCTCCGACAGCACGCACAGTAAGTTCATTTATTTTCAGCTGGATATGTTCACACACACACACTCCTCACACACTGTCACACACACGGGGCTCCGGGTGGGCAGCCCGCCGCGGACTGCTGTCACCCAGAAGAGCCGCCGAATTAAAAAAAAAAAATTAGTGGAGCCAAGTTTTGCAACTCCCCGCGAAGTGTACAGTACGGCGGCATGCGCGCGCGGCTCCCCGCGCGGAAGCTAGCATGCTAACGGGGCTAACGTTAGTGGGGAAGAAGAAAAAAAGGACAGAAAATGTGTAAATGGTAGCTGGCGTGCACGGAGCACGCGGGAGCTGATGGGTTTCTGTTCTCACAACTTTGAGGTGAAAAACAGGAGCAATATTTAAAAAAACAAACGTTGTAATAATTATTAATATTAATGTGGAGTGTATTTTAACCAGGCTGCATGTGCATGATTTTAACCTGGCTCGTGTTTGCACTGCCTCATAAAAAATGCCCTTTCTAAAATAAAATAAAAAATAAGCACAAAAAAATGAATAAATAAAAGCTGCCCGTTGTGCAGACCTTTACATTGGCTCTCTGACACTGTACAGCAATGTAAAACCTCCACAAAACAAAAATCAATATGCTAATGAGCTTTTCAGTGATTTGCATGTGTCAAAACGTGGAAACAGATTCATGAGAAAAGGTGCATGCATTTAAAAAAAAAAAAAAAAAAATCAAAAATAAAACTTTTTTAATAATGCAATAACATCTGCATATATTTTATTGTATTTGTAGCTGTCTTTTTGAAAAGAAAAATTCAAACAATGTCGTTTCTTGAGTGGAAATGTTTGTGCCACACTGTGTTGTGTTTTGCATGTGTGCCGTCCCTGCTTCCGGAACAACCCGCTGCCTTTAACCCAGACATGTGCCACTTAAACCCGCATTTAGAAATACATTTCTCTTATTTTTTTAGACACAATCAGCCATGCCATAATTATGCACTCTTAGTTACTTGGTCCCAGAGAGCAACAGCAAACATAATTTTCTCAACCAGTGTTGTTTTTTCTTCTATTCTTTTTTTTCTGTCTTTTTTATAATTTTTAAATGGTTGCAATTACAAGTCTCTGCTTTAGGACTTGTCATCTCATTTTACAAGGTTAAGGCAAAGACCAGGCATTAGGAAATC